CTGGAAAGTGATCGAATATTATTTGCAATTCTACGTGTTTCAGTTCAAATTGATTGTTTGATGTACGCAGTTCGATTTAATGCATGATAGATAATTGAGCCGATTACAATTAGTGAATTTCAGATCACAAACAAACAATGCTTATGGTATTTTCACTGGATTACATCGAACAAGCAGTGTTGTGATGGCCACTCCGCATTGCTAATTTCAATCATTGCAATATCCAACCAACTTCGCATAGTTTGTAACCTAACTGATCTATATTTCAAGCTCAGCATTAATTGACAACTAATCGATTGCTACAGTCAAAGTGAAATCAACCCACAACGTGTCATCTCTTAAACTAATCATTGCTGTGTCAGTATTGCTGCATTGTTATGGTCACAAGTGCGCAATCTGAGCACAAAAACGCTTCTGAAGCAGGTGAGATCGTAACGCCTTAAAGTCGCTAAATTTTACAAAATTTGTCACTAAATGTTGCACGCCAAAAATGTGTTCAGTGCTAAAATTGGGGCCATACGAAAGCATGTTCATTAATAATAATAATCGAAAACCCATTACATAGAAATCTTATTGTATTTTTGCTAATAAAGGACCTTCTCGGGTGTCTAATACAAATGCAATTTAATGTCAAATATCTTAAGGAATAACTGGTTACTTGATTTCATCGGGGCTGCTGGGCTGTTTTCGTGCAGTTTTGCTCAGAAACAGAAATAGATCCTTCTATACATCAGCTGACAATAGGAGTTGCACAGTTGGAACGATTCACTAGGCTGGCATAACTCCAAAATTGACGGCGTTTATGTGCAGACGTTTGCGATTAGCACTGCTACTTACTCTAATAGGATTGACTGTGGGCAGTGAAAATACGGAATTATTTTCGGTTGAGTGGTGTTGATTGTTGTGTAGATGAAAGAGTTGTTCAGCTGTTGGAACAGTCGGAATCATGTGGTGCAGTTGGCGGCCATTGAATCTTTTCAGAGAATATCATTTTCGAATCGATAATGCAAATTCATCTCATTGAACACTATCGGCGCTTATTTCATTCGCAACTGAAGTGACAGCTGAATGAAATTTTGAATTTTAACTTCGGAAGCATGCCGATAATGAGTTGAGACTGGGCTCTTTGACGTATTGTTACACTTTCATCTGTGGGGTTTGTTGCGAGTCGTAGCCTGAGGTTATAACTTAAAATATTTCCGGAGTTAGATTCGATACTCTATTAACGTTTGATTAACGTCCGATGTAAATTTCATATTTAATTACAACTAGCAGTTATAAATGCGAATTAGCTTTCGAATAAATTTCTAACCCAATCAGTAAGTATCCTGTAAGGAATTTTCGAAGCGAAAGTAGAAGGAAACATTTGCAAGTTGTGTGTGTGNTTGCGCTAACAATAAATCAATTCGGATTGTTCGATATGCCTTCCTTCCCTCCTTCCGTCCTTCCTTGCGTCATCACGTCGTTGTTCTGATAGATGAATGCTAATTAAAATTATTGTTTTCTTGGTTCGTTGAAGTTAACGAAACGAAACTAATCGATCGTTACTTAAGTTCGTTACGTTGAGGTTGTTCAGAATTAAGAGAGTCGAGAACGCGATTTCTTTTTTGTTTCTTCGGTATTTTTCTTTCCTGATGCCTAGAGTGATGGCCTGTGTGATTCGCATTAGCGATAGACCGTAAGCCTAAGCCATAACGTATAATTGCAATTTTATTTTTATCATGTTTGCGTTAATGTTTTGTTTTCAAGTTTCATTTGATTTATTCACGAGTTGGATTTATTCATTTTGATTTATTTCATTCATTTTTTGGTCGAGTGCTTTTTCAGTGTCTGACTCGAATGACAACGAGATGGTGCAGTCGAATGGTGAACAACAACACACTTTCGTTAGTTCATCGGTGGAGCAGGAACGAGAACGTCGTGAACAGCGCAAGTAAGCGTGCATTTTGTTCCTTTTCCTTTCTTGATTTTTTTAGAGGGGAAGCTTCATGTAATCTCACTAAATTACTTCTTATGAATAATATTGAAATGAGCAGTTAAGTAACGATGAAGTCTTAAAAAATCGAAATGACTTTAACAATTCGTAAGTGACACCTAAACCTTGAGAGAATCAATGCACCTTGAGAGACAAAACGAAATTTCGCGGTGATCAGCGAATAATTTTTGCAACTTTTTTGTTTCTTGCTGAAGGGTGTTATCGTATAATTTTTTTCTTGGCGATACGGATCTCTTCAGTTGAATTCTATTAAGTGGAGTTAAATTTCGTTTCACTTTTTCGTTATTCTGTAGCATTCATTGAGGAAATTTGTGACAAAATTGAATTTACAGAAGCGACGAAGACGAAGAGAACCTTCCCATTCGACATGTGGTGATCGATGACGAGGATGATGAGAGTAGTGAGCGAGGCGTTTCAGAGCCACCCAATGAAACCTATCACACGTCCGGGTTGCCTTATGGGGTATGTTATCGAGAAACCTCTGAAATGAAACCTGAATCTTTTTAATGATTTGTTTGGGGCACCTGAACTGATTGTTTTTCGTTGATGTTCAATGACCAATTGACCAATTAATTCAGTGACCAATTACCTTTGGGAACAATGATATACCAAATGAAACAGTAAGATTGTAGTGGTTATAAGTTTTATGACTTTAATGAAAAGGAAAGCGTTTTGGCTTAGATGTTACGTGTGATTCATTCGAAAAATTTTTCTTTGTTATGTTCTTTTTGTGTGTGACATGTTTGCGTATACACAAAAGATTTATTTGTGCATTTAAATGCTTCATTTTTGGATCGCATTTGATCAGATAGATTGATGAGATTCAGAGGAACAGCGAGTGAGTGGTCTTTCCTCTAAAATGGCTGTTATATAATGTCGTTGGTGATAAGTTGTTGAATAATAATTGCGTATAGAAAAGGAGTGCAGAGGGAGGAATGCAGCGCATTTGCTGACTGAGAATAGACACGATCGCATGTGCATGCATAACGATCGTCATTGTGATGATATTCATGCTGACGCAAGGAATGACTTATTGCCTAGTTCGAAGTATGACTAGAGTAGTGTGGCTTTCTGCATGGCACACTTGGTGATGATATCCTATCGAATATCAAATTTCATAAAGCCATTCATGCTGGCAAGAGCAACCCATTTTCCCAGGCAGGCACCACCCGTATGAGGAGTTTGTTTGGTGGAAAAGGAACTGCTGACGGCAAAATACAGAACGTTTGATTTTCACTGGACTTAGGTGTTTGTTGAGCGAAACGAGAAGGAGGGAGAATTCTCGCGGCTGAATCGTTTCTGTTGATATAGCTGGAGTGATGTATTTAGTTGCGAATTTGTTTTTAGTTTTTAGTTGTGTAGTGAATATTTCTCGTTCAGGATCATAACTACGGTGAAATATCGGCCAGATCAGCGAATTCGTCGCGATCAACCGACGAAGGTTCAGAGCATTTCCCAGTGATTGCTGGATTGGCATCGTATTTTGGTAAGTTTTCAAATGAAGTTGTTTTTCGTTGGTGGCGTGAGATTTTTGAGAAACTGTAGCAAAAGTGTTATGGAGATAAAATATCCTCACTTCTTGGTGGGTTGATTAGTTGAATTGATCAGACGTGTGGAAAGGTTTCGATCGAATTTTGTGCTCGTTTTGTGACTGCGGAAGCAAGGTGAATTCAACGTTAGTTTTAGGTGACAATGAAAACGAGCAACAACAACAACCACCGAATGGGTTGTTGCAACGCAATACTGCTGTCACTTCGGCTGCGGCCGTTACTGCGGATCCTTCACCAATATCCTATAGGTTAATATATCTTTCATTTGGAAGATTACCTGATGTTTATCAACGAACTGATGTTCATTGCTATCAATTCAGCATTTGCCTGAAAGGATCTTTTTGCATTGTTCTTTTATATGTTAACGAGTTGTTGGTGTTGTTTTTAGAATGATGCATATTACAAACATTGATGCTTTTTGAGACCTTTTAAAGTATAGTATTGGAATCAGTTAGATATTGCAGAGCATCGATTCGTGACGCATACTATCGTAATGGTGATCAAGGAGGTGGCAGTGGGAATGCATATTCAATGCAGTCCTACAATTCATTACCATCAACAACCTCGTATCGCATTACACCTAATCCAACGTTGGTTTTTTTTAGATTGTGTGCATTGATTTGATTTGGATATGATGTGATATATGCATTGTTTATGCATAGCATATTCGTTGACTGATGGTGAGGACGTTATGTGCGTGTGAGTGATAAAGATTTGTGTGTCAGAGCAGGGACCAGTGCAATTGGAGTGGATGTAGCATTAATGAGAGTTTGATAAGTGGATTAATTTTAGTTCTCAAGATGAATTAGTTGATGAACTTGCAGTAGATTAATGCTGGATGGTAGTTTATTTGTAGTGAATTCATGTGTTGTTATGTTACCATTATTGCAAGTTTAATGGGATGATTGCTTTGCACTGTTGATTGGTGATGTGACAGCTTTGTTGATATATTTTTGTGTGGTGGTGGTGGTGATGGTCTGTTTGAGTGATTAGTTGCCAATTTGTAAACACTGATGAATGACTTTATTAATATGTGACTGGTGGGAGGTTTTTTGTTTTGTGTTCATCAACAAGAAGTCAAACACCAAAGTTGTGAGTCGAAAGAATCACATGAGCAGAATGTAAACAATTCCATTGTTTCACTCTAAGTAGTTCTGTTTGATGATCTTTAACGATATGACGCGATAATAGAGTAGTGATAGATTTTTTTAAATTGTTGATTCGCTTTTTCTCAGCAAAAAGGGATTGCATCGGAATGGCTTTAGTGGCACAAGTTGGAAGAGGTGACAATTGAGCTGACAGGTTCAATGGAAGAGCTTGACGTATTTCGGTAGTGACTGATCGAATAGAAATTGTATTCAGGCACAGCGATGATTTGAAATTGTATTCAGCTGAGTAAATATATGAGCAATGGCTGGAACATAAAGCATTACATTCAGTTTAGCTACTCAAAAAGCATCTGTTTACGAAGATTGAAATAATTACGATTAATTGATATGAGTTGTTGTTTACAGAGCGAATTTTGTGACAATTGGAGGTCGTACGTATGTTCGTCAAATGACCCAAAATATACCACAGGGCTATCGATCTGGACCAAGAGGTGAGCGTGGCGAATGGAATCTGTTTAATTCGGGTAGAGGGGATTTTAGAAATGATGCAGTTTTTGACTGAAAAGAAACGCAGTCAACTGAAGATATCATACAAGTTTACACGAGTTTTATCTCCTTCGCTGTGTTGAAACACTGAAGGATTCTCGCTTATTATTATTATTATTATCTCTTCTATTTGTCTTTACGGTAATTATCGGTATAGATTAGTTCATTCTTGTAGCAAGAAATGAATTTAGCTGCTTTAACCTAAAGCCATTCAATTGTCGAATATTTCAGAGAGTTACTCAAGTGGTTCAGTTAGTGGACCGTCATCGAATGCGACGGCAACGTATACAGGGCCACGTCGAATGAGTGTAGGCGGATTGACTCAACTGAAAAGGACAACTGTGAGACCAAGGTAAATTAATGGCTTGAAAGTAGTATTCG